TTTGGTCACCATGATGTAAAAAAAGATATTGAGACTCTAGAAAGAGTGCAGGGAAGAGCAACCAAGATGATTAGGGGACTGCAGGCTAACACATATGAAGAACGGTTGCAGGAACTGGGTGTGTCTAGTTTAATGAAAAGAAGGACTAGGGGAGACATGATAGCAGTCTTCCAATATTTGAGGGGCTGCCCCAAAGAAGAGGGAGTCAAGCTATTCTCCAAAACACCCAAAGGCAGGACACGAAAGAATGGATGGAAACTAATCAAGGAAAGGAGCAACCTGGAATTAAGGAGAAATTTCTTGACAGTGGGAAAAATTAACCAGTGAAACTGCTTGTCTCCATAAGTTGTGAATGCTCCATCACTGGAGTTTTTAAAGAAGAGACTGGACAGCCACTTGTCTGAAATGGTAATAGGGTTTCCTGCTTAAGCAGGGGGCTGGACTAGAAGACCTCCAAGGTGCCTTCCAACTCTATTATGATAATGTCTAGTGATTCTAATTCCAACTTGGCACCTTTAGGATTTGGGGACTTCAACCTCTAGAATTCCTTAGCCAGTGTGACACAGACATTTAAATAGCGCCTCATATGCAGCATACACTATAAGGTCATAAAATGTTTTCGTGGGTCTCAAATCCATTGCTGGCAATAGGAATTTTCAGTGAGAATTATCAATTATTGTCAAATTGCAGAAGGAGATGTAGGAGCGTTTCCAAATTTCACACAACCTTCGCTAACCGTGCATTCATCCGTACACCCACACATGCCTCATTCTTTCATTTGAAGTATGTAAACTTGGGGTCTCTGCCAAATTAAATCTCCAAGATGTCAAATCTTCCCGTTCCTGACATCAAGAACCTTCCAAAGTGCAACTCTGAAGCGAAGAGCGCATAATTCTGCATTATTTACCACGAAAATATTTACATGCCATTCTCATCAAATACCAATGCTTGTGTAAAATGAGAACTTGGAAGATTTCAAAGCAACTCCTACCATATTTTTCGGAGTGTAAGATGCACCTTTCCACCCCAAAACAAGAGGGTGAAAATTTGGGTGCGTCTTATACACTGAATACAGCATTTTTGCCCTCCCAAAACCCCACTACCTTCACAAAAATGGGGCATGCAGACAGTTTGGGAGGCCTGCAAAGTTCTCCTGGGGGCTGGGGAGGGCAGAAATGAGCGAAAAATGGGTCATTTTTTNAACTGCAGATAGCAGTCAGCTGAAGTGGCCTGCAGTACTGCACCCTAACCACTGCGCCACCTCGGCTCTTTTAAAGACAGAACTAGAATTCAGACTCCTGGCGACTGGCCCAAAGTCACCCAGCTGCCTTTCGTGCCTAAGGCAGGGACTAGAACTTGCTGTCGCCTGGTGATTGGACCAAAAGTCATCCAGCTACCTTTCGTACTGAAGACAGAACTAGAATTCACTTTCTCCTGGGGATCGGCCCAAAGTTACCATCCAGATTTCCTGCTTAAGACAAAACTAGTCACCCAGCTGGCTTTCATGCGTAAGGCGGGGACTAGAACACACAGTCACCCGGTTTCTAGCCTGGCGCCTTAACCACTATAGACCAAACTTAACTCTCACAAATATTTCTTGTCCTTCTTATTGGGGAATTAAAAGATGACCCAACAAATTCCAATGATAGTGAGTTAGTGGCACTCTTCAGGACATGAACATTTCCAACTATAGAAAGGGTGACATTGATGGGGGGGGAGGGGGGAGAGACAGACATGAAGGGGTTATGTTCAGAAAATGCTTTGCAGACATACCAGGAAGTTCTCAGCTTCCAAATATGATTTTGCTTCTTGGCCAAAGGTTAAAAGCGCTGTGAGATCAGAGGACAAAAATGCCCCCAAACCTATTTGGAGAAAAATCCCTGGAAACATGGAAGGAGTGTCTGGAATGTGTCCTTTTTCCGTGTATATACACAGACACACACTTATAAACAACATCGGCTGCCTTGAATGAGAGCCACTTACGGCTGAGCAAGGCCACACAAGTAACACAACAGCTCCGAAGAGACATCTGCTGCCTAGAACAGGGTATGAGAGGAGAGGGGGGGAAATAATCAGTTTTGGCTTATATACGTACAGCCATTTCTTTAGTGCAGTGTTTCTCAACCTTGGCAACTTGAAGACGTCCGGACTTCAACTCCCAGAATTCCCCAGCCACGCTGGCTGGGGAATTCTGGGAGTTGAAGTCCGGACGTCTTCAAGTTGCCACGGTTGAGAAATACTGCTTTAGTGACAATTCAAAGTTACGACGGCACTGGGAAAAAAAGTGATGTCGGACAATTTTTCAGATGTCACATTTATGACGGTGGCAGCGTCCTGGGGGGGGGTTGTCACGCGGGGCTCCCCTTTGGAGACCTTCTGACAAGCAAACCGGATTCACTTAAGAACCGTGTGACTAACTGGAAGCAATTCACTTAACAACCGTGGCAAGAAAAGTCATTACAAGGAAGCAAAATGGCAACAGCATTTAAGGGTTATATGCCGCTTCACAGTGCTTTTACAGCCCTTTCTAAGCGGTTTACAGAGTCAGCATCTCTTGTCCCACAACAATCTGGGTCCTCATTTTACCGACCTCGGAAGGACAGAAGGCTGAGTAAACATTGAGCCGGTCAGGATCGAATTGCTGGCAGTGAGCAAACTTAACCTTCAATACTGCATTCTAACCACTGTGCCACCAGGAAGGAGAATGAGAAAGGGAGTTAAGGAAGGAATGAAGGATGGATGGAAGGAAGGAAGGAAGGAAG